AGCAATATTTTATATAGACTAAGGTTTTTAATATCCCTCATTTCTTGACATTGAAATCTTCTCCTTTCTACCTAGATTTTTTTAACAAAACTTACCATTAATTTCCTCTTTGTTTGGTTTAGAGGAAGTATAAGTGAGGTTTTTTTGTTTTTGTTGGAAGTCCCACATCGACTAGAGATAAGGCCAATTCATAGTATATAAGTGGGTGCAAACCTCATCTTACAAGTTGGTTTTACAATTTCGCTTATTATGAAAAAAATCATTTGATGGAGCTTATAGTAGCTAAATATTGTCTAGAACTTTGGCTATTGATACTTAGGCAAGTTAAAAGAAAATACTCTTGAATTTCCTGTTGACATTACATATTTTCCCTTGATTGTTCCTTCTACTTTGGGAAATTGTAACACTATGGTATCTATGCAACAATTGTAATAAGTAGATGATTTGCTCCATCCTATTCGTCTGTTTGGAGCTTAATATGGTCATTTCTCAGATCTGATGATAATGTGTTCCCATGGAAAACTGCACCAAAGAAGTTGGACTACTTTCCCACATGAGTATAATAAGACGATTACTGGAGTCTTTAATTGTTTGTTTTTTCCCTTAACATTTAGCTTTTTAGGATAGGTTCTCCTTAAATTTAAGAATCAAATTTGGCTAGTTTTACTGTCAATTTGGCTTGATTAGAGGTAGGAACATAAAGAGCCACCTCAGATGAATGCTAACATGCTCAAACTTGTTGAGTTGAATCTACCACGTAACCAGGTTTGATTTGAACTAAAAATTTGTGCTCAAGCTTAAATGAGCCTTAGCAGTTATGATTAGTAATCTACATATGATGCATACTTCCACATGCATGTACTAATTAAACTATTATAAAGGTATTAAAGCTCTAAGATGATGGGCATGAACTTATTGAAGTGGAAAGACAAAGAGCTGGTTAATAATGTGCTAGGCTAAAAGCAAAAGTTTAGTACCCTTGGCAAATTTATTTAGTTTGCTGGTTTGAGAATGATAAATATGCTGTAGCTTGGAGAGTTGAATACTTGACTAAGAATAGTTTCACTGTAAAATATTCCACATATTGATATGATTGCATGCTTTTTAGGAGGCTCATAGACAGATACATTGTCACTGGTTGGAGTTATCGACTTGTTTAGCTGGGGTATGACTCATCCGCAAACAGTGAAATACATGGTTAAAAGGTGTTGATGAAATTGACTGGTGCTAGTCACAACTTTATTTCATCAGATTTGGTACACAATTTGGGGTTAAAGATTGGTCCAACAAATTCTTGTAAGGTGAGATTGTGAGATGAGTACAAAAAACAAACTCATGGTCAACGTAAGGACTTGAATGTGAAAATGGGTGATTACTATTTTTTAGAGGAGTTTGTTCTGTTTGAATTACAAAGTAGTATTTGTAGACTTTGAAGGTTTACCTATGAGGAAAATAGGTTAAAGCACGAAGAGAGGGTTGAATTCTTTTTGAGAATTTTGAAAAAGTTTTTGCAAAGCTTTGTTTGGTGAACGAAAATAGAAGTTTATACTTGATGGATGATCTATCAAGTAGTCTTCTTTAAGAGATTGTGTTTGATGAAGAACGTCTTCAAGTTTAACAAATGTATAGTCAAAAGCTTTTTTCACAACTTGTTTTTCGCAAAACCTCTCCTTAGGTTAGTTGCATATATATATATATATATATATATATATATATATATAACATGCAATATAAAAATAAAAGAGTTGAGAGAGATTTACATAAGGTATTTTTATACTAGTTCATCTGATAACCTAGACTACATCCAGTTTTTGATCAACACGATCAAGGAGCGCAGTATTGATTGACAAGAAGCAAATATAGCATGTTGACAATAAGACAGGATTGCAGGTTTATTATAGGAGGAGGTTTTAGAACAATAACTAAGAATACAGTTGTAAGGTAGTTTTTACAGCTTAGTGTTTACTAGAAGTTAGGACCTCTTTTTAAAGGAAGTTTAGGGGGAAAGGGGGGCAGTTGTTGCGGACAATTGAGTTTTGTAACGGGATTAATCCAGTGGGAAGGAGAGTGCTCCTTTTGTATCTTTTGTTGTATCAATTGGTGAAATTAGATAAGTTTAGGTTTACTTTTCTTTGTTTTATCTGAAAATAGTGTTGATTCCTAAAAGAGGCAATGATCAAATTTTGTACCGTGTGTAATACTTTCTGAATGTTTTCATCACGAAAGCATACTTTTACTTCTGAACAAACTACAATTAATCTTCAGTGGCCCTTTTGATGTATACTATGTGCAAGGTAGCATGTTATGCAACAGGGCATTTCACTCCTAATCATAGAATTATTTATGCTGCAAATGTGTATATTTAACTCGAGTTCAATTTATCAGCTGCAGCAATCTGGAAGGGGTGGTGTTGATTCCATGGCAACCTGTCGAAAACTAAAGATAGACCTTCAGGCTGTTTTCCACGTGCTTTCAAAGGACATGCAGCAACTATTGCTTTCAAATCCTGAAAGGGCATCTCTTCTTCAAGGAAGTCTGGAGTCACCAAAACTCCCAGGGCGTCCCCTCATACAAGTTGCGGTTGTGTCTTCTACATCACCCCGGTAACAGGAAAAACATGAAACCAGTATTCTTGAATCTTTCTTGTGCTTCTGAGGGACAAATTAGTTCCTGGTCTACGTCCATCTTCAGAGAAGTTCTCTGATTCATGATAAGTCATGTGGGGTAAGACTCTTTGGTGCACATGCTGAAAGCCTTTCAACTCACTTGTTTGCCGATTTTATCTTCAAATACACAGAAGAGCATTGACAGGAATTTATGTTAGTCAAACACTGCAGGCAGCCGGTGTGCTATATATAATAACTTCTCTCTTGGCAAATGTGGATGGAAAGTTCTTTTGGTGTTAATTTATGAGGCTTTGTTTTTTTGGCTGAAATTGAGGCTTCGTGTTGTTTCCTTTCTCAAAAGATCAATCTGTAAATTATTAACTGTTAGTTTTTGGTAGTGCTCTCCCATAGTTTCTTTACAATGCTTGTCTCTGGGAATTCATTTACTTTGTAGTTTATCAAATCTATTAATATTTTGTGGGAGACATGCTACAAACAACTGTAACATATTCTGTGAATGGTTATATTTTTTGGAGTAATGTGATCATGTAAACTAGCAATGCCCTTGAGAGGATGATTCTTGAGGTTGGTTTAGAGGTGTTCTAGCACCCTCCATGAATGGAGTAATCCAAAACAATAAAAGGTTAGCTTTGCTATTTAAAAAGCTGTATTTTTAATAAAAAAAAAATTTATTATATTGAAATTAAATTTTCTCTGAATATAGGATCTTAATTTATTATTTAAAAAAATAAATCGGAAGTTTGTTTTTATATTTCAAAAGATGTGTTTACTTGTTAAAATCAAGATTTGTATGCTTAAGAAATTCTAATTTATTATTTTATAGATTGATAAAATGGTAGGAGCGGCCTAACTCTATTATGCTAGCCGTATAGTTCAACATCAATACTTGTTTGGCCATTGTTTCGTCCACTCCCATAATACTAGAAAAAGATCCAAACATTCTTCACTACCAACATTGCCATTATTGTTGTTATTACTACCACCTGTGCTGATAAAGAAGAGATGGAGGATGTTGCAGAGGAAGAAGAGAGAAAAAGCAGAAAAAAAAAACTCTTTGAAAAGTTCTTTCTCAAACATATTTCATGTAGAGGTATTTCGAAAAAATTATTACAGAAAGTACTATTTAGTTCCAATTTTTTTTTTCGAAAATTTCATTTTAAAAAATTTATTCCAAAACACATTTGATATGCTCTGAAAATTGTTCCAGAAGTTTTATTTTGGAAATTCTGTTATGAAAATTTCGTTTTGGAAATGTTATTCAGAAATTCTTGAAAGCTTGTTCTAGAAGATTTCTAGAATATGTAATTTGGAAGACATTTTTCTAAAGGATAAAATGATCATTTCAAAACTTTGACGGTGAACAGAAAATTGAGGGTGCAGAAAGTAAAAGTCCAATTTTTTAACTACTATGGAGGGAGATTGAGTGGTGGCTTTTGCTTTCTACAACTCTACAATTTCTCTCTACAGGCAAAAATATTTTGAAATGCCTGTTCTATTCTTTTCTCAAACATGTGGTAATTATCAATCTAACATAGTCTTTGGTGTAAGAAATTTAATATGATAATGGGAAGACATTTAATTGTCCTTACTAATAAAACTCCTTTTTTATTTTATCTTTAGTATTATTACTAGCACATTGTTTTGGTCTGCATTATGGATGTAAGGTCCTTTTTTTCTAATATAGTAAAAAATATAACTAAAAAGTACTTATTTTAGTAATTGCTAAAATAAATATATTAAATTATGTGATAAAATAATAATATTTTATTAATTTTCATAATATTTGTAACTTTTTATTACAATAACTAAAAGTATATGGTGAGTAATTTTTTTAAACATTATTACATGAATAAAATTAATTATAAAGAATATATATATAAGAAGTAATTGTAAAACATAATTTCTTATGTTGACAAGATTAGAAAGAATTTAAGAATTACTGCATGAACAGTTACAGAATACATTCTTCATATCATTACAAAATAAATTATAATAATAAAATAATAAGAGCTCAACAATACTGCCACAAATGCTGCTGGCGTTAGTAAAAACTTATAAATTCTTTTTGAAGTTAGCTTTAGCATTAAATAATTATCGTTTTAACTCTTGTCTCACTGATTATTATTTATCTTTAATTCTATAAAAGAATTTTTTTTATGCTTTTCACATATTTTTTACAAAAATTGGTATTAAAAAAAGAATAAATTACACTTAACTGTTCCATTTAAACAGTATTAAAAATATCTAAATTCATATAATGTACTTAAAATTTAATTAAGAAAAAAAATAGATATGGTAGTAGAAGCATGATATTTTATAAATTAAGTTTCTCAACCTAAAAAATAAGGAAGAACTGTGGTGGTAGATGGAATTGAAAAAAAGCATGAAGAAACACAGCACAAAATGAGTTATATATGGAAATTGTGGTTCCTACAATCACACATCCCTCTCTCATTTTCTTCCACATTGCTAAATCCAGAAAAAGTGCAGAGAAATGGTTGGAAATTGTGGTGATCTAGTGGCATTTTCTCTTGTCTTCTTGACCGTGGTTTCCGGTGGGTCTGCATGGGTTGGCGTGAACTGGGGAACCATGGCAACGCACCAAATTCCCCCCGAGAAGGTGGTGAAGATGCTCAAGGAAAATGGGTTCACCAAATTGAAGCTCTTTGATGCGGATGAACTCATTATGGCAGCTCTTATGGGGACCGATATCCAAGTCATGCTCGCAATACCCAACAACATGCTGGAAAAGATAAGTAACACTCCTAAAGCCGCAGATCATTGGGTCTTTGAAAATGTCACCTCTTACTTCTTCAATGGTGGCGTCAAAATCAAGTTAAGTACTTTCGAGATCATTCTAATCTTTCCTTTTTCTTCATCAAATTCTTTTCCTCTTTCATTTTCATGCTACTCATTTACTTTGTTAACTTTTTTAACAAAATTTGTATGCAACTTTTTTTTTATAACTTCACGGTTATTTAAACGTGTGGGAGACTGTACTCTACTCGACTGAGTCGTTCTATTAGTTGTTGTAATTTATTGAAGATAACGTAATTTTGTAGATTTCATTATTTTGTTTAATGAGTATTGGATATGGTAAATTTGAACTAGTAATATATAAAAAGTGTGTTGTAAAGAATGTGTTGCTTGCTATAGTCTTGTTTTAGTTTTTGTATTCTGAACTTTGTGAAAGTAAGCATGGGGAGTTTGAAACTTGACAGCATGCTTCTTCTAAGGGACACTAAGTGAAAATGTATAAACTGTACATGCTTTTTGTTTGATTTTGTTGTTAACTACTCCAGTTATTGTTTCATGGTCTGGTTGGTCGTGTGTGATAGCTTTTGTTGGATGTTTACAGCCATTTTGAACAATTCCTCACTCTGCTTTGTGCTTGGTATGTGTATGATAACTATGCAGGTATGTTGCTGTGGGTAATGAGCCTTTCCTTAAAGCATATAATGGTACCTTTGCGAAGAAAACGCTGCCAGCCCTGAAGAATATACAGACATCACTTAATAAAGCCGGGTTGAGTTCAAAGGTCAAAATCACTGTTCCATTCAATGCTGATATTTACTATTCACCTGATTCAAATCCAGTTCCCTCAGCTGGTGACTTCAGGCCTGAAATGAGAGACCTCACCATTGAGATAATCCAGTTCTTGTATGCAAACAATGCACCTTTTACAGTTAATATCTACCCTTTCCTTAGTCTTTATTTCAACGAAAATTTCCCTTTGGATTTTGCATTTTTTGATGGAAAAAGCAAGCCTCTCAGGGACGGTAAGGCACTTTACACCAATGTGTTTGATGCAAATCTTGATACTCTTCTGTGGGCTTTAGACAAGGCAGGGTATCCTGACATGGAGGTATTGATTGGGGAAATTGGGTGGCCAACAGATGGTGATAAGAATGCTAATGCCAAGAGTGCAAGGAGGTTCAACTTTGGTTTGCTTAAACATGCTCTGAGTGGAAAGGGTACCCCTAAAAGGAAAGGAACAATTGACTTGTACCTGTTCAGCCTCATTGATGAGAACATTAAAAGTGTTGCTCCTGGGAACTTTGAGAGGCATTGGGGGGTTTTTGAGTTTGATGGGAAGCCAAAGTATGAATTAGACTTAACAGGTCAGCACAAGGAAAAAGGTCTTATCCCTGTGGAAGGTATAAAGTACCTGCAAAAGAGGTGGTGTATTTTGAATCCAGATGTTACTGACTTTGATGGTTTGGCTGGTAGCATTGACTATGCCTGTACCTTTTCTGATTGTACTTCCCTTGGTTATGGCTCTTCTTGTAATTATCTTAGTCTCCAAGGGAATGCATCTTATGCTTTCAATATGTATTATCAAGTAAATAACCAACAGGGTTGGAGCTGTGATTTCTCTAGTTTGGCTACCATAACACAGAAGGATCCATCACAGAGTGGCTGCCAATTTCCCGTGATGATAGCTAGCAGTTCATCTTTGCTGCTGCTGCTGCATGAAGGACTTTTATGTATCCTAAAGAAAGCGTTGGAGGTTTATATTTTCGTTATGATTTTGTTTTAGCAAAAAGATAACGGAGTATTTTGAATTTTCTTCTGAGATTTGGTTTTTCTGAGTTTTAGGAGTTGAATGTCATGTCAAATTCGTTTTGTAAATTTGAAGAATCCTGCTCAGTTTTAGACACTTGCCTTTTGCTTTTAGTTTTAGTATTTGTTACTTCTAATCTTTTCTTGAATTAACCAAGTGAGATTTTGAGAAACCAATTGTTTTTTATCACCTTAAATATAAGGTTTAAAGAAGTTTTATACATGATACATCTTTTATCACCATTATCTCTATTGTCATAGCTGTTCTGTGTAATCTTCATTTCATCTCTATTTTTTCATTCTAGTCTTTGAGAGGAAGAAGGGAAAAAAAAGAAGAAGAAAAAGAAAGAGTTCGTTCTAGAAAAGAAAATCTTTTCAAAAAACTTGTTTCAGAATATACCATTTAAAATACATTTCATATTATCTGAAAAATTTATATGTTTTTAGTTTTTGAACTTGTACACAAAATTAAAATTTGTCTCAATTTCAAAATTTGATAAAGTTTAAAAATAAATAAATATAATCTTTTTAATTTAATAGAAAAGATTTTTAATTTGTTAAGTAATACTTTGGACTAACGTTTGAATTATACATATCATTTGACAAATTTTAATTTAAATGTTATCTTAAATCATCATTTTATATAAAAAAAAGTTAACGTCAGTTTAAAAAATTATATCTATATATTTTTTTAGTTTGACATTAAAATATATCCAAACCAAACTTTGATACACAGCTAAATTCATAATTTCACATATATATATAGTTTTATAAATATTACATTATCATTTTTAATAGAGATATCATTATAATAATAAAACAAACTAGAAAATGTAAATGTGGTTCGATAAAATCTCGAAATATGTTGTTATAGTTTTAATTCAAAATAAATAAATAAATGTGATGAAATTAAAATCGGGTGATTGAATTTTGCTAAGAGGACGCGAAGAATTAACTATAGGATGGTTAGCGTTAAATTTCATGACAACCTATTTATATAGATGAAAAAAATTAAAAATTTTACAATTTCTAATATTACATATATATGTTGAAAAATATGAGTAATCTGAATTTTAAGACCGAAGCTTGTGATAATGGGAATTTGAGATCAGGACTTCTTCTTACACCTCATTGTTTCTCTTTTCTTTTCTGCACCTCAACTTTTGGTTTACTTTCAATTTTACCCTATAAAATATATGGAGTGTATTTATTCTAATAGAGTCCTAAGTGTGATGTATGTTATGGAATTCGAATTTCAAATTTAACAATTTTATATTATCATTTTCATCCATTCTCATCCAGATCATTTTCATGCTGTTTCACCAGTGGCATGCTTCCCCAATCAACAGGTACTCAGTATATGCCAGTTTGTTTTCATTTGGATACCTCTTAGCATGGTAGATTCTCTCCATGTCCCGGAACCAATGGTCAGCTTCATCCAGGCTACACTTCCCATCAAACCTGGTTGGATGGTGTTGCAGAAAGCTTTCTAAGCTCCATTCTAAGACCGGACCCGTAGATGAAGACGCGCTTGCAGCGGTCCTACCACTAGCGATCATATCCATGAATTGTCTCTGAGTGGTATCAGCTGACGCTCTAGCGTTCTCATCAGACACTCTTGCAGCTTCCAGATTCTGCAAGGCTATGGTGTTTTGTTGAACCAATGCAACATTCTGCTGTTGCAACGCCTGAAGCACAGTCTCTAACATTTGGTTAGATTCAGATGGCTCGGCCTGAGGGGGAGGAGGAGGAGGAAGCCTAGGTGCCATCTTTTGTTCGCACAAAGAGGAAAGACGATCAGTCCAACTCAAATAAACAAGGACAACCAACTTAAACATGACTAAGAGTACACAAGCATAAGCAAGGCACACACATACCCTACATGATTTTTTAAGGACAAAAACTGCTCTGATACCATAAATATAACATCCCAGATTATATAAAAGCATATAATATAGTAAGTCCACATTTTAATATAAGAGAACAGTTAGAGTATACTGTAAATAAAGTTGTTAAGCTTAAAGACATCCCAAATAGAGTCATAATTTAAAACTTAAATATAATAGAGTATTCCAAACTGATGATGAACAAATAAGAGTCCTAACTAAACTAAGCAGCATCATCATCTTCCTCCAAAGCCTGCTCCAGAGGCATCTCATCCACCTCTGATCACATCCAAGTGGATGATCATCGCAAAAGAAAAGCATACCCAAGCAAAACACAAACACAAAAGCAAGGGTGAGCTAGATATAAAAATCATGTTATAACATTCACACACAATATGCAAATAAGACAGATATACTAGGCTATACAAACATGACCTTTTGCACTTAAACTTGACTCGTCCGGACTTAGAATGATTGTCGAGCTATGGCGGGTCATGCACTCGTGGTGGCCTCTACTGCTTTGCAAAGTCATTGCCAATGGGTTTCACCCTACCACACTCACAAGGTTAGTCCGTTATCACTCACCTTAGGCCATACTGGAAGCACCCAAGACTAGGACCTCCTGCTACTACTCACGACATGATTCAATCCTCTCTACTTGAGAATGATTTACCATTGTAGTTTCAGGATAACCCCCAAGATTGAGCTACCATGCAAATCATTCTAAATACTAAGGACACCACCATGAATCTTCTCCTTGAAGATCATGGAATTACGTCCAATAATATAGGTCACCACCATGTAACCTCCCTTTGAGATCCATGGAATTACGTCCAATAACATAAGGCATCACCAAGTAACCTCCTTAGAGATCCATGGAATTATGTCCATCAACCATACTTTTAAAACCACATACTTTCAATCACCAAACATGTCTCATACACTCACATACTTTCAATATAATCACATTACCACATCATATTATGCATTCCAAACATTCCACACACTTGATTCAACCGAAAAGAAAGCAAACAAGAAGACTAGACTCAAAGGATTCGCACAGCGCACCCTATGCGCAAGGTGAGACAGGATGGTCTCGTATAGCGCACGCCACTAATTCGCCATACGAATTAACTCGCAGCATGCATCAGACTTTCAACCTCTCGCATAGCGCACCCAGGTCGCTATGCGAGAGCCTAGACAGAGACCACACCCCCAAACCCTCTCGTTTTGCGCCCATCTCGCTCTTCGAATTAAAAGGGCAGTGGTTGCAGACCACCATCAGTCGCATAGCGACATGATTCGCCAAGCGAATCCACAAACAAAGAGCAGCACCATCTGGTCATTCGCACAGCGCATCAACTCGCACAACGAATGACTCAAACAGTGAGAACTCTCTACAAGGTCTCACTATGCGAGACAGCTCGCATAGCGAGTCTGCATAATCTGCAGAATTATGCAACTCACACACCCTTTACCATTTCTAGTTATTTTCCCCAACTTCTAACACTCATAGTTCGTGTTTTATACTTAACTAAACTTATCTAGATGATCCTAACTCTCCTTATTACTAATCTAAAGTGATTAAGATCAAGTTTTATCTTTTGAAACATCATTTTCCACAACTTGAGGATCCAATTTCCATTTTACCACTTTTAACATGTTCTAGTCCGGTTTTATGATCCTAACAAGTCACAAATGACTTGCCTAAGATGTCCCAACAACCCAAATGTGCCCATAACCCCTACTTCCCAAAATCACTACCTCACTTCCTCTCAAGTGACCCAAAACCCTAATAGAACACCCAAATTTCCTACTCATTCACTGATACAACAGGTCTCTCACCACAAGCACTTCAACATAGTTATTACTACAATTAAATACGTCCAAATAGTATACAAACATCACACTCCAGTTTCCACGGTCCCAAGGTTCAACACATGCAACTAAATCTTTCCAAGTTAAAACACAAAATAAACAATACAACGGTACAAAACACAACATACAAATAATGCAACCAAATAAAAAAAACATATCCTAGCTCCCTTTACCTTAGAGTAACTTGACTGAACAGTTCACAAGAACCCTTCAACCGAACCTTGAGTTGTGAGAACTCAACAAACCCTACAGGACATCACATTGGTGACAGAAACAACTCTTATAGCTAAAATGGAGTGGAAAAACTGAAGAAAATGAAAGCACAAGTCTCATGCAACTACAGAGACTGCATGTGCTAGTTCAAGGACAGAGAAGAGGTTGCATGGAGGGACTTACCAGCTTAGAACCTAAAACGAATCGGATGGTTTCGAAGCTCTCTACGCTGCGGAAGTTTTGGCACCACCTAAACAGAAGTCTACTGGTTCAAAGAGGATGAATGGAAGAGAGAAGACAAAGGTTGTAGAGAGAAGGCAGAGAAAAAGGAAGAGCTGAGTTTTTAGAGAGAGAATGAAGTTGGGTTAATGAACCAGATGTCTGAAAATAGGCTTTTAAATGCAAAGTTCTGGTTTCATTAAATTAATTATTCATTAACTTTCTAATTATTTTTCAGGTTCTTACAGTTTATTATTAAAAAAAAACAAAAAGTAAAAAAAATGTATATAATATAAAATAATAGGATTAATGATAAATAATAGCACACAAACAAATTAAATGAAAAATATAATATATTTTCTTTATATTTATTAAAACCATTTTAATTCATTAAAGTAATATAAAATTTAATATTTATATTCTTATGTAATAATTATTTTATTTCTTAAAATATTCATGCTTATAAATTATGTTTTTCTATGATTTCTCTATATTCTAGTATCCTAATATATTTGATTATGTGAAATTCGGCAACTACATCTTCAAAAAAATTAATTGGATTTCTTGATTCGATAAGTTCTCCAAGATTATGTTATCCGGTTTGTTATTATTAAGAGAGTAAAATGAGAAGAAAAAAAAAGTTTAAGGGTGAAGAATCTTCCTTTTGAGATTGAAGGGATAATTTGATTTGGATCATTTCTTTGCACTCCATCATTACTAAGTACATGCAATAGTAACTCAAAAATACTAAAATATCCTTTCTCATTATACTATCTCACCATTTTCATAGTTGTTGTATAATCGTTATTACATCTCTATTTTTCATTGTAATATTTGAGAGGAAGAAGAATAAAAAAAAGGAAAGAACTCATTCTAGAAAAAGAAAATTCTTTAAAAAAAACGTTTCTAAAATTTCTCTAAAAAGAACTTGTTCTAAAAGAAAAACTTTTAAAATGATCTGTTTAAGTTAGAAGTTATTTGTGAAAGAATACTTAAATAAGCTAAAAATAACTTATTGAAAGAATA